CTCTTCTCCGCAGGATATATTAGCAAAATGTCAGTTCAAGACAATTACTTCAGTGTGTTATTAACAGGTGTGAGACGTACTCACACGAACCTTTAATGTTTCTCACATACTCCGCAAATTTTAAAGAAAAGTAAATACCAGCTAAAGGGATTGGTTTTTCTTAAATATAAAAGATTAACTTGCATATATCACCATTGCATTTATGTGGCATTTAAAAAAAAAAGATTAATTCGGTGCATGAATATTGTTTTTGACAGTATATATTGGGTTTTTAATGATATAAAAACACTTCGAGCATTCTTGGCACAAATTACAAAGATTCATAACTTTGTTTATCATTTAAACCAAGGCATAATTATAAATGATATGCTATAACCATGGGTACAGAGTCAAGCTCTCAAAAGAATATTGGTCTTGAAGTGCTAGAAATTCATGAAATCTAAGCAAAAATATATACAACTCTCCCTTTCAATTTCTCTTTGACTTACAAATCTACTTCGATTCCAATAGGACACACAGAGAGGTCAAAACATGATTTGTTTCAATTAAATACGGAATATAAAGGTACATATTAATATTGCTGAAGTAGCATATAACCTATCCTGTTAAAAGAACTGTTCTGTTACCTGAGGCAACTCGGACTTTTAAAGGTGATCATATTAAACGCAATATCTGTTTAATCATTGGTTTTTCTTCAGCAATTTGAGAATTATTACAGAAAACCATTTTTCAAATGTAAATACGTGTATATCAAATTTCTTCATGAAAATAAAACAAAGCGTGATTTTTGTCCAATAGGTTCATGAGCTCCTGACTAAAGTTAAGTAGATGGACATTACTGTATCACATAATGATATAACATGAATATGCAAAGATGAACCTTAGTTTTGAACTACTTTCTTTTGACCGTTACTTGATTTGTTGAATATTTATCGCTTTTTCCTGCGAGGATAGACATCTATGCCTGTACCATTTAAGATAGAAAAGACAAAGTTGCAAAAATGAAATATCCTTGGTATATTTTTTCTCTTTGCCTAATTGGTCACTTTAAAGGAAAAAACAGACTCTGATGTGTAATCGTGCTCAGTATAAGCAATGATCACTAAATAAAGATTTAATAAGAGAAGCACGTTGCAGAAACTAATAATTATCCTGGAACAGGAAAATCATACTAGCTGTGAAAAAAAATTCCTTGCAGTTTTTAAGGCTATCGTAAACCCTTTTGTATTGTTCGGTGTGTAAAATATTATACGAGATTTAATGTACGAATGTGAACGTAAAAATTTAAAATTGGAAGAGAACAAATGACTATATGTTCTTGAGGACAGGACACTCTCTAGGCCTTTTTGAATTTTTCCTTTTTTTATTACAACTCTACATAAAAAAGAAGTCTGTAATGAAACTATAGCTACATAAAGACGGACGGCGGACATTTTTCTTTCTCAAAAGCATGTCTAGTTCTCTAAAGTAGAGTTAACATAGTACAGTTGATATTTAATGAGAGTTCTGTAGAAAGACTTACACATTGTAATAACTGGGTTATTTTTGTATAGATGGTATATATATGTATTATATCACAAATATATGACTGAAAGATAATTTGCGAAAGAAAAATAATTTAAGTCAAAAAGAAACAGATTTAAATTGGGAGGAGGGAATTCATTTCTTCAATCGATAAAAAGTTGGAGTAAACGTAAATGGAAGTAGGGAACTAACACGGTTACAAAATACATGATTACTATATTGCAAGTATATGTATATTGTAAATGAACTTTGTAACTGAACTTCAAAAAGAATTTAACGAAATTAAAGTGCATGTTATGTGTAAATTAAATGATTTTCTAACATACATTTAAACTGAAACCTAATATACAGATAAAGGAATTGACTACATTGTGTATACGAAAATATTGGTTTCAATATATGTTTTCATTAACTATTAATATTGATCTTAAGTTTGTTAATGAATAATATCTTGTTATGAATTCGTGCACTCTGGGTGCAGAGAAGTTAAGTTATCCCTTGACCGACTTCCAATCCTCTTCTAACTCGTATAAACTCTCTGTACCAGAGGCTTATCTGGCTCTGTCAAGGCTTCAGGACGAAGGATCTCGGTGAATGTTTAATAAAAGAGACATTCCTATAGGAAATTGACTTGTCCTTCTTTTATACATGTTTATATAAATTTTGTCTAAATAAAATCCTGAAGCATATTTTTTGATTATACAACAAGTTATATAAATCAGTTTTGAATATTGAATTATTTTAATTATAAAATCCTCATCGAATTTTTTTTTTTGTTATCTATGTATTTATATTGGGGAAGGGGGGATTTGAAAATTTCCCAAGAAAGGCACATAAATACATAGTATATATGGAATGATTATATTTTTTATTCATAAATATAATACGAACACTCAGTTTGTCACATTTTTCTACACTCTTGGAAATTTTGAAATTTCAAAATTTTGAAGAAAGTCACAATTTTGAGGTTAGTTTTCAATGATCGCATGCATGTGCATAGGACTTAAGATACATGTAAGTAGATGTAAAAAAAAAATCAACAGATATTTTATGCATTTTAAGCAATATCAGTTGCAAGTTTGAGTATTTTATTTTTGCTGTTAAAATGTGCTATTTTGACAAATTTATATGTAATTTAAACCTTTTTACAATAAAGTATTAATTGTTTTAGGAGAAAAGATTTCCGTACAATGGAATGTATAGTATTATATTTTTTTTTAGAAATCAATATTGTACTGGACAACAATAATGTAATTTTGCTTCTTTTACAGCTTGTAAAAACTTCTTCCATCCCAAATACGCACAACAAACGTTTATATAAGTTCTTTATTTCTGTCATTGAAATAGTTAATTACAATATTGCAACAAACATTTCTGACATCAAAATTGCATCATTCATCTTTTTATTTAGTTCATTGGGACAAATTTGTTGTCAAATTCTCTTCAGATTTATTACAGCAAGCCACTTTTATCTTTTAATGTGCCTTAAAACAATTATAAGTTTGTAAGCAATGAAAGAGGGACAACCCTTGTAACGAAATATATTTTACTTGAAAATTATGCAGAACGCTATTCGGTTTACATTATATATGTACACAAGCTTTATTAATTTTTTTAAACACATCTTCACATGAAGAATGAAAAAAGGCATAAACAGAATACCATCTCATTAAGTGTTGCACACATTTTTTTTTACTATTATTACGCATGGTAAATCTTAAAATAATTTACTGTCAGTTCCTTTGACTCCAGCCGTTGCCACAAAGTAAAACATCATGGTATATTATGTTTCCAACGTTTGAAAGAATCAGAACGTAGATGATGACATAAGATACATGATTTAGTATGAGAGTAACTTCCTTTTTTTAAAAAATGAGACAAGTGTATAACCCAAATTACAGTTTGTAATCACCACTTTATTACATCGTACGGGGAATACGATAATTTGTCCTTAATAAAAAGAATAAAATTGCATAATTTTGTTCTCATCCTATATAATTTATCGTTGCCTCACTTTTCCCCTCAGTGGATGTGAATTTTGAAATTTTCAATGAAATAACATTACATTTTTTTAATAAATATTTGAAAGAAAACTAAAGGTATTAGGACCAATGAGCTCACATAAGGTAATACCCACCGCCTCCCATATGATTATATATAATGGCAAAGTTCATGTTTTTGCTGTTGGAAACCCAAAATAAGTGTCAGTCATAAAAGAAAAGTAAATTAGGAGATGCACATTGAAATTATGTTATAAAGAATTTGTGAAAGTAAATGTATCATTAAATTTTATTCAGTAGTATAGGAGCAGTTTCGAATAAGAGATAGGTACCCTTCATTATTACTGATAGACGGCAGTGTCCATTTTTTCTATGGGAAACAGGGCTTATGTGTTCGATCAAAAAGTAAAATAGAAGAAGCACAATATGGTTTTATATAACAGAGATTCTGTGAAAGTCTAATCGATCATGAAATTTCATTTAGTGGTATAAAATGAGTTGCGGATAAGATATGGGTACCCCAAATCATAACAGACGGACGTACGTACGAACGGACATCCCGAACACTATACCCTCCTGCTTTTCAAGTCGGGTGGGTGTGGGGGTTATACTTATCTTAAACATGCAATGTCTTTGTACTATTCAAGTCTAAACTATTCATATGTAATTTCTTAAGGTTAAAAAATTATTAAAAAGTCTAATAGCTTTGAAATATCAGAGTAAATTAATTAGCATTTGTAAAAGGGCGAGGATTGTTCATATCAGACAAAAATATTTCAAGTAATATATTTTGCATCATTTTTATAAGTTATAATGGATATATATTAAGTAGACGAAAATATATTCTAACCTGTATTTTCTACACTTATCTACTGCCTGCTATCTACATAGGCAGCGAACTAAAACAAGTTTACCCGAAATACGATACAATCGAAAACTTTATCGATTAAGCGCTTGCCCATCCAAGTTATGAATTTAAAAATAGACAATGAATGTGCGCATGCGCATATTGTACTTTGTTTTTGGTTCTTCATGAACTTGACGAATATATAGAACTTTTCATAATGTACTTTCAAAGATTAAGGTACGTGGAATGTCTCTGTGTTGATCCTTTTGTAACTAAACCTCCAATTAACAATATATATAGTTAGTTTCATATGAATGAACCTCACTATTTCAAGTTACTTTCGATTCTGATTTCAAGAAACGAAAGAACTTTATGATAAAAGGACATATTTTTTCTATCTGAAATGAAAGAAAGTCTATTTGTACCTACAAAGGTTATTTGTGTAGTTTACATTCATCGTCAAATTGTTGATGTTCAGTGGGTACAGAAAAGTTCACGAGGTATTTGTCGAGTCTTCCATCATGGGATTCGCCATTATAATGGGAGACTGGGGTATCATTTAGTGAGCTCAGTGCTCACAGTGTTTCTAGTTTTATTTAACAGGACCTTTTGTCTATTATTGTAGATAACGTACAACTTATACAGGTATGGCGGAAATAAGTCGCCCTAAAAGTGGAGGACGTCGGGATCGCAAAAACAAAGACTCAGGTTTGCTTCACTTTTTAACGTATCTTTATTTCTTTGAAAATAGTCTTTATGATGTCCATTCTATAGCCATTCATACATTCATCAATAAAGGAAACAGTCCTTATCTAACACGTTTTAGAGATATTTTCAATGCACTATGTTCTTATTTTTTGCTTTCAGACAAGAGTTCTTCCCCTGGCGAGACAAACATTAATATCTACCATACTGAGCAACATGGCAGCAATAACACTGTTATAATGCACTCCACAGCTTCAAAAGAGGATAAAGGTATTTTCGTGAATAATAAAAATACGCTGAATTTCAGAATCTATTTAAGTAAAAGTCAGACCCTACATATTACTTTTATTTTCCTTTCACTCAAACATTTGTCGTTACTTAGAAGCCTTGTTCTAAAGAAATGTTCACAAAAATCGTTCCACTGTGTCTTAAAGAAAATATATTATATTTTGTTTATCGTTGTTTTCTTTTATTTTCAGATGACCCGTCTTTTCGGAATGAAACAGTAATTGGCATGGTAAATACTATCCTCAATCCATCTAATTCCTCAAGGCCATCCATTATGTCCTTTCAAGAATTTAAGGAAAAATTCAGAAAAGAATACAAAGAGGAGTTTGAAAAAGTTTCTGGTGTTTCTGTATCACGATTTGTCGACAGAAACTGTCAATTCTTTGAAACAGTTCAAGACAAAAAACTCAGAATGATGATAAAGCAAATTCGGAGAAAAACTCCAAAGAAGAAAAAGAAAACAAAAAGAGGGGATCTGCAATTGGAACCAATATCCATAACGACTGGGGATTTATCTGAAGCTGAATATATGACTGCAGAATCAGAACAGTGCTCCGAAGAGTCTTCCGAAGAGAGTTCACCACGTGAAACTTATTTAGAATCATGCAAGGACAGGATAGGCCAAATGATAAGCGACACGTCTGATAGCGATGATAATGCAAAAACAGTAAAAGAATCTGATCCAATGTTTACAGAGTGGAAGCAAGTATGCAGAAATCAAAGTCGTGTCCCACCTTCCTCCCCAGAAATTCAATCTGTGCTACAACGACAGTTTTATAGAGCAATGTCAGAAGAAGAAAAAAGAGATTTGACAACGAGACTTTTACAAAAAAAGGATTCCCATGATCTTATTTTGAAACAATCTGTTAAAGAATATTTAAGTCATCCTTGTAAACTGGTTTTAGATCTTGTCAGTTTATGGAACACTACGGCACGTACAACTTCATATATTGTTATAAGACTTGACCAAAATATGAATATGTCTTTAATTTCGGACATTCTAAAATTAGATTTTTTCACATCTTTACCCCAATACCAATATTTTGAAGTTGAAGTTATGAAGAGTCCTTATGCGGTATTTGAAATTCCATCAAGTCACGGAGCAGGCCAACCAGTTATAACAAAGACCGAAATGAGACATTCTGAAATTTCGTCAGTCTGTTGGGAGCGTGATCAGTTATGGATTAGGAAATCAACATCCCAGTCTGCCCTTTCCTTATCGGATCCCTTACTTGCTATGGTATATCAATGGTTCGCTGGCGCTCAAGATTCAATTCCTCAAACAAAACCGAAATCAAGTAAAGTACCTCATGAAAGAAGTGTATCTTTAAGTCCTGGTCCTACAGAAAACAGAGAGGCCAACACTGACAAAAGAAAGAGCTCGCTGGAGAGTTTTCGAATTGCTGTAAAAGGATTTGTCAAAGGACAATATATTCTCATCGTTGGAAATATGCCAAAAGGAATGCAAAATATGGAGGCAATATCAACAGTCCCTTGGATTTATGTATTTGATTTTGATGCCACAAGCAGAGATTCAGGTCTTCTTTGTGTAAATGAAAATTTTATAAAGAAAAGACGGTCTCTTCATCTAACAAATTGGCTTCAAACACCAGCAGGAATATCAGAAAATGGAACATCATGGACATTTTTGCGTGGTAGAAGAGACAATCCTGAAAGTGTCTTTAAAAATACTAATGACTTGCGAGAATGGCTCCAGAGAGTAAAGGGAAATATTGATTTACACATTGAGCACATTCAAAGATATATCGAAGATTACACAGTCATTACTATAGTAATGTTTTGGCCATTAGATGAGAGTTTAGCTCAACATATGCATAAATTTTTAATACGGTTGGATGAAGGGCTCGATCCAAAGCCGAAGATAATTTTGTGCATTCCCGGAAAACCATTGACTGATATTGGCAATTCCATACTGACTTTGTTAAAAACCGAAATGGGTGAGAACCTTGTCATAATAGACTGTGATTTAAAACTTGTCTGTGGCTGTATCATTGACATTACTAAAGACCACCAAATTCAAACAAATGTAAAATATACCTTACCAACCGCTGATGATTGTAGTGACCCTTCCATTGAGGACAGTGGTGCAGCATGGCTTAAAGAAGAACTTGAGATTCTGTACCTTTCCAATCCATATACAAAATGCAAAATAGATGTGAAAGCTCTGGAAGAGGAGGGTGATACATTCTTCCGCGGAGGCACATTACATTGGTTTGCATGGTACGAAGTTGGTGCCGGCCATTTTGACGCACAGCGTGATCTCATGGCTGCTGTTATGAAAGCTATTAAGGTGTTTATTGACGAAAACAGATCAGGAGTAGTGACACTTTACCATGCACCTGGTTCTGGAGGAACAACTTTGGCCCAGAGAATACTGTGGGAATTCCACACACAGATTCCGTGTGCTCATGTAAAGTTGAGATCTGCATTGCCAGTAGCAAATCTTGTTGAGCGAATCGAAATGATATATGCCAAAACACACAGACCCGTCTTATTACTTCTTGATGGCGATGACGAAGTCAAAGTTAAGCAACTGATTAGAATTCTTAAAACCAACTACAGATGTTACATAATTATTCTTTATGTAAAAAGATACCCATATTCACAAAAGAAAGGTAACAAGCTTTTCCTGCAGGGAACTGTTTCTAAACAAGAAGCAAAGCGATTGGCACTTAAATTCAAAACTCAGTGTAAGGAGGACACAAAGAAACAAGAGCAGTTAAGCAAATTTTGCGAGGACGTTGAAAATGGTAAACAGCACCTCGTATATGAGTTTGGGCTTGCTGCTTACTTGCATGAATATAAAGGTATTAGCAAGTACGTAAAGGGGTATTTGTGGCCAGCAAAGAAGAGTGACACAGAGGCATTTTCTCTAGGGAGAAAACTCTTATCCTACCTATCCCTAGCATATTACTACGGTCAGACTGCTCTGCCTTTGCAGTTTTTCTATGCATTACTTCACAAACCCCCAAATTACCTCATTGAAATGGATGATTTGCCCCAACCAGTCTCACAATTTGTAGTCTTTGATAAAAACGAATGCAAATCAAACAGTATTCGAATTTGTCACTATCTAATTGCGAAGGAAATTTTGGAACAGGTTCTTGGTAATGGATCTGAGGAAAGAAACACACAGCTTTGTCTGACAGCAAGACAGAACCTTGCTTATTTTTGCGAAGAGTTTATCGAATATGCAAGCAGGAAGGGGGTAAAATCGGGAAACATTGTTTATTTTCTAACAAGAATTTTCATTTTCCGTGACAATAAGGATATGGGTGAGAATGCTGAACAAATACGGAAGAAGCCTGTACTTTCTAGACTTATGTTGGATATTTGTTCCAAAGGTCCATTTTTTACCGAACGCTTGAACGTTCTCAAAAAATTAACAGAAGCTTTTCCCAATGACCAAAACTTCCATGCACATTTGGGACGTTTTTATGCGTATTGTCGACCAAATGAAGACGACAAAGCTGAAAAATGTCTTCAGAGGGCTACGGAGATCTGTGAAAGACAAATTGGAAATAAAACAAAAGGAGACCTGGATGAAAGGCTATTGCATTCATTGATGCATGTATATCACATCTATGGAACAGTACTGCAGAAGAGGATTGCTAGATACACTGGACAATCACCAACCGATGAACCAGACATCGAAACAACGGAAGAGATATTTGATGAGAGGTTGCAAGAACTTATTCAACTTGCTAAGTTGTCTTGTGAATACTTTAAAAAGTGTAGGGACTTCACCCCAGATGGTCACGAATCATGTTATGGCTTTGTGGGTGAGATAACAGTTCGTCTACAAATATGTGACTTTATTGAGAGGAATTTTAAAGAACTCGATGAGTCGTCAGGAATAAAGGCTTACCTCTCTTACAGCGACGAAAAACATTCCACTGGGAGGAAATTTGTTAAGAAAAGTGTTTATTGCATAGACAATTTACTCATGGAATGTTTCTATACTTTAGAAGATGATGATATTGACCATTCAGTGCAGAAAGTTATATTTTGGTATAACCATCTTTTCAGTAAACATGCTGTTGATTTAGAAGAACTAGCAGAGGGCGACGACATTCATGCATACAGACTTCAGATTGCTGCAAAGAAACTCAAGTACAGTTCAAGCGAAACAAACTTAATGATGCTTGAAAAAATTGACAGAGAAGAAGACATCACTGCAATAGTTCATTTGTACGAAAATATCTTCAGAGAAACCATTTCAATTGAAAGCAAACCAGCGCTAGATAGAGACTACACAGAATGGATCTTTGCCATCAGACACAGGCTTTTTAATGAAGTCTACTCTATTGAAACAGTGTTACAACATGTTCGCAGGTGGCATGAATTACTACATTCTCCCATGTCAAAATTCTACCTATTTATTTTAACAAGTCTTCTCGGGTTTGGAAAGAACAACACAAATGGAAGCAGTGAGTCTTTATCCGAAGCAAACATTCTAAAGAAAGACATGGAAAAAGTAAGCAGGTTTGTTTTGAAGCCAAAATACCCCAGAGAATGGCTAAGAAAAAATGGAGAAGGGATAAAAACACTGGAGCCAGGTATGCGATTCATGGGATATGTCGTCTTGGATGACCGCAATCTCAAAGAAGATATATATCAAACACTCCGAATTTGTAAAGGTACAATCTGTGCGCCAAACAACAGAAAACTAGGAGGTTTCATTTCACTGGATCTTGGAAACAATGTAGTTCCTGTTCGGGTATTTTATATTCCGAACAAGGCAAACTTAGCTAGCACTGCTCACGCTGAGAAACGTGTCGAGTTTATACTTGGATTTAGTCTACATAGTGGCTGGGAAGCTTTCAATGTTCGACTTCTTGAAAAGTACCCTTGCCCAAAACTACACTGCAATGCTCACATAGAACTTACAAGTGCAGACGATAATGTTAAATGCCCTAGTTGTCAAAAGATTGTACATAGAGATGAATTCCCAGAAGTTCTTTAAAAAGAGAGTGTGATGTTAATGTTTTCTATAGTGATTATAAAAAATATATATAAATACATGTAGAGAAGTATTTCAATAAAAGAGGCGAAGAAAATATTTGCTTTTGTGTGTACGAAAAAGAAATAATAAAAAATTAAGTAATAAAACAAAGTCAATACTCAATGAAGTTACCATGTGCATGAAGCAATTTTATTTATTTACTTGATATCTCTTGGTTGTTTTTCACGATTTTACAGGAGACTAATATAAACAGAAGTATTTGATCTTTTATTTGTAATTTAATATTCTTATAGTTAGGAATATGCCAAGAATGATATTTAAACACAAAGTCACTAATTGACAAAAAGTAAATATAAATAAATTTTATGAGTATTATACATCCACTGCGGAAACGTATAAATATACATTTCTATAAAGGAAATTATATTGAGAGGATTTCAAGGAAATATAAACAGATGTGTAACAGGTACATAGATAATGATATTGACCAAATTGATTTTAGTTTAATTGCAATAAAAAGAGATATAATGGAAGTGTAGTGAGTTAAAATGAACGCAATATTTTCAATAATTTTTATTTTACCATTGTGGATGAGATTAGTTTGTGTCAAGAGTAATATTTGTCGTGGGTAGGTACAAAATATGTATATATATGGCATATTTCAACATTAAGACAGCTCTGTACACTGCATGATAAAATGTTCAGGTGATGTGGGGCTGTTTTATGCAGCTAACGTGACATCGACTTAGATGTAGATGTACAGTGTAGGATACTCGTAAAATAAAGAGGAATATTCAGATTTTAACACACTTTGTTATAAAGAAATTAATTTTTTCTTCATTTAATTTATAAATATTTGATATTTATACAAAAACACATGCATTTTTCTGAAAAAATATGGTAAAAATGAACTCTGTACATATATTTTTCCTTTCTATTGTACGTTTTAAAGCCAAATGAGCAGTCATAATATCGTTTAATCTGAGAGACGGGAAAAACATATGCCTTTCTTTAAAAACAAAGCTTAAACACTTGTCAAATGATTTAATATGACAAGAACTAAGAAAATATGTTTTCCAAAACTGTTTTGTTTATTTAGCAACTGTTGCAATGGCTACAAATGGAATAATGACAAAACATCATGTATTCGTGAGTTTTTTGAGTTCTGTATTTATTAAGTTCTGGCGTTTTGAAAAATGAATTAATGTACGTATATCCACTTTATTTCGAAATCATTCTAAAATGTACTGTGGAGTTCATTATAATTCCATTTTTAAAAATGATTGCAATAAACATATTAAGCTAATAGTTCCTTAGAAAAAAAGATAAATTGTCTACTTTAAACTTTTATAGCATGCGATTCGGGCTTTTATGGACAAAATTGCAGTACCAAATGCCGTTATCCTTCATTTGGTGAATTGTGTCAATCAGAATGCTTCTGTACAGAATCTGAATGTAATCCTAGTAGAGGATGCCTACGTTTAGGTAAGTTACTGAGTATTCTCTATAAAGTTCTACCTCATTATTGAAAACAGATATAAAATCTCGGTCTATTTTGATATGAGCCAACCAGAAAGTGCGCGATATAAATATCTAAAATCTTTATTAAACTAGAGGTACTAGGAGCAATGAGCTCACTAATTATAAATGATACCCCACCTTCCATATGATTTTAATAGCAAAGTCCATGGTTTGCTCTGAGAGATCCGAAATACGTGTCAGATCAAAAAGTAAAGTAGAAGGTGCACAATGGCATTATGTAATCAAGAATCTGTAAAAGTATCATTAAATTTTATTCAGTGGTGTAGAAGGAGTCCCGGATAAGAGAACGGTACTATTCAACAGTATTGAAAGAATGGCAGTGTCCATGTTTTCCTTTGGGTAACTCAACATGTGTCGGATCAAAAAGTGAAAAGTAGGAGGTCATAATGGTATTATGTAAGAAAGAGTCTGTGAAAGTCTCAATAAATTTCATTCAAACGTATAATTTTGAGGAGTTGCGGATACGAGTTGGGTACCCCAAAGCGTAACAGACGGACAGGCGGACTGACGGACATCCCGATCACTATATATCCTCCCACTTTCAAGCGGAGGTATTATATAAATGGTGCCTGTTTTGGAGGGTAACAGTTGAAACTGACACCCCAAGGAAAACCATTGTCAATCGACGCGTCAGCGGAGGTTGACAATGGTTTTCCGAGGGGTGTCATATTTCAACTGTTACCCTCCAAAACAGGCACCATTTATTTTATTATACTGAATGTCTTCTTGATTTAGGATGTCAGAAAAAATCAAAGTACTCAGAAGTACAGAGAGCCGGGCTCGTTTACAGAGTAGAATGGATTTCTTACATGAATCACGTTTATATTCTGATGAAAAAATTATTCTAAAACTATCGATATAAATGATAAGACACTGACAGTGAGTTTACCGCGGTCCGATTTTGTCAGAATCAGAATTAATCTGGTACCGCAGCTGAATGTACACAAACAGGCCAGTCTGGTTCCCTCTCCTGCTTAATACCTCGTATGTGTAGAGAACTACGGTAACACTGATTATCAAAAATCCTTACGCTAATGAACTATGTTCTTTGACTTATGAAGTTTTCAAAGTCATTAATACTAATGTTTATTTTATATAGATAAAACTTCGTTTTATTTTTGTTGCTTTATTTAGCGTTTGTATTATCTCAAAAGCGGTTGAGAGTAAGAACTATATTTTTGCATGTAACTTTAAAATGGCGACTATGGGGTTAACATCCTGCCTTGAACAGGATCACATAAGCCGGCAATTGCTCTTTCAGCAATAAGCCCGGCTAAAAATCGTCGATCGTCTTTACGTTCTCGTCTAGAAAGCTTTCAAACTCCACGCTACTTCGAAAAAGATTTACTGACCTCTTTATTGTTTATTTGATACTGTAAGAGTCCTTTATCATCTAAAGTTTCGTTATTTCTGCACTCGCAAGCATGTTTCGTCTGTCGTTTGTTGTTTTCAAGAAAGCTACATCGGACGCAAGCTTTTATGGACGTCAAGTTTATTCAAGTTAAAACTTTCAAACGCACAACTGACGTTTTGAGAATTCTACGGTGAACCGTACGCGCATAATTTCATGCGCATGTGACATTACCGTTGTGTTACCCGTTGTCACGTGTGTTGCTAAGGCTGAGGGTAATAGAACGGATTGTTAACTGCGTCTAAACCAATCAGATTTTAGTATCTAACATGAAAGTATAATAAAACAACTTATTCTCTAACTTCGTAATTCTGGATGTGTGAAAATAAGCTAGGTTTTACCACTGTTGCATTTATATTTCATACATAAAGTACAGATGTTATTTTACGTACAAATATTATTTAATAACGTTTTATTAATGTCTATAAAATTGAACAAGATGTGTTTGTGAAACATTGATACCCCTGTATGGCAACAAAGTGAAGGTTAAATTTTATCAAATACAAATCAACATGTTGATACAACTGTACCCAAAGTAAGGCTACAAGAAATACAAAATTTAATGTGAAATATAAAACCCTAGCGTCACCTGTTCAAAAGTTATGGCCAAAGTAAAAAAAAAAATTTAAGGTATGTCAAGCATCGGGGTCAAGGATAAAGGGCCAAGGTTGTTGCTTTCTAAAGAAAGGTCTTGTCACAAAGATTACATATGGGAAGTATGAAAGCCCTAGCCCTAACCGTTCAAAAGTTATGGCCTAGGTTGAAAACTCTTTAAAGTAGGTCAAACTTTAAGGTCAAAGGGTCAAAGTTGTTGGTATCCTAGGAAAGGTCTTGTAATAGGGATTACATATGTGAGGCATGAAAGCCCTAACCTTTACAATTAAGAAGCTTAACCAAGGTTAAGTTTTTTTTAAACTTTAAGGTCAAGCTCCAAGGTCAAGGTCAAAAAGTGAACGTTGTTGGTATCCAAATGAAGAACTTGTCACAAAGAGTAGTTACATAATTGTTATAGGTCCTGTTAGCCTTATTACTTGAAAATGGACTTGTATCAAAAAATTTGCCCAGGCCCCTAGATCATAAACTGAGAACAGATTTAAATCAAAATTTATATTTTGAATATCTTGAGTTTAATTTATTTTGTTTGCTTAAAAATTTGCAAGTTTATATAATATTCAAATTTAAACATAATTATCAAGAAAAGGACAAAGTACATGTATGGTAACAGCCGATTCTGGTCTCTTAATTATTTGATGTAAAAATCAGAACACTCAAAATTGATATAGCTTGTAATTAAGACCTTGAAATGATGCTTCTTACAGAATCAACAGTTTGTAGTTAAAACCAGCATTGAATTTGATTCAAAGCTTACATGGAGGTAATAAGAAAGCGCAGAAATAGGACATTTTCCCGAATTTCCTCAATTCTGTTGGAATTTCGTCATATTTGATACAATTCTCTTCGGAAAACATAAAGCACAAGCTTGCCTACATGTACATCCCATAGCTTCGAACCATTTGATACTCATTTTGTGACAAGAGTGACAACAGGTTTTTATTTATGAACTTTTGCATCTTTCTAAAATACACCCAAAATCAGGGGCCAAAAGGGAGTCTTATCTTGTCCTTTGCTTTCTTATCATGATTATTTCAAAAGTTATGGTGATTATAAAGTTTGGCATGTCGATTTGTTCTTAGTTTATGGTCCTGGGGCCTAGCCATCTATCCGGGCCGTTGTTTCTGACATCACTTTTTTCCAAGTATTCTTCCATGTATTTTAAATAATTGGTTGGTTTTATCTCGTTAGTAGGTGCATAGATATAGCTTTGATACTAAATAACGTCATTCATACGTTGTCTTTAACAGCTGATATATCATTCAAATATAACTTTCTTCAGAGTGTCCTATGGGATTTTTTGGAAGACATTGCGAACGTTCGTGTACGTTTCCAAGTTACGGCCCTGGTTGTCAGATGGAGTGCTTCTGCACTGAAGATGTTTGCAACCCAACCACAGGATGTGCAAGTATAATGATCAATTCTGCATAATAATTAACAAATTTAATTTTCTTAATACTTATTTACATATTGAATATTCAGATACCAAAATTATCTATACTTGAATAAGAAAAATACTTCAAAGGACTGCTACATAAAATAAAAATGAAAGGGAAAGGGAGTCTCAAAATTTAAAAAAAACATTAGAACAAAAATTAATATACGCTTGTTTTTGCAAGTACCTGTGGTAGATAAAATTTGTAATTAAGCACAATTATATTTCTCATCTTGCGTGTGACTTATAAATGTTTCAGATCTGTCAGAGGCAACCACACAATTGCAAGAGATCGTTGCGTCAGTTTCCACCCCCGAGGTTTGGAATTCTGAATTGAGAAGCTCTTCAATATCTACATTATATTCTGACATATCAAAAAAGACAAAAAACATTCCAAAAAGTTTCAAAAGTGGTATACCAAATTTTTTTTTTGAATAAACTTTTCGTCGAAATAAGTGTATCACGTTCTTAGAAACACACACGCTTGTAGTTTATTTTAAAAGCTTTTTCTTTCTTTAAAGTAGAAAAGAAGATTTTTTTAAATGCCTTGTACATGTATTATCAATTTGATTAAAACTTAGCATTTCGTTTCACTTGAAGTTTATCAAAGAAAATTCAGAAAGATGTATATTTAAGTTCCTTTTTTTCACAGATAGAAAATGTCCACCTTTCTCTAATTGGACATTTCTAGGAGTAAGAGCTCAAGCCGGTGCAATGTTAGTGAGCATAGTTATTCTCGGAGCACTTTCTCTTATCATTATCTTGCTATACATGTGCGTGTCGTTAAAAATCTTCTTAACTCGAAGAGACTCGAGATCGACGCTCAGAAGAATAGAAAGTTTCCAAACATAAGGTTTTATGGTAGGAGTGAGTGAAATACAGTTTAAATATCTTGGATTATTTATTTAATTGATTAATTAGTACATTTCAATTCTTTTTTTTTTTTCATTTTAAATTTTCATTTTTCATTTTAGTGTGGATACAATGTATGTGCCGCACATGTATAGAGCTGGATTTCGGTTTGATGTTAGAGAAGAAAAAATATACGTCACACAGAATATTTTACTAGTATGAGTTCAGATTGTAAGTTTAGAAATAAAGGAGATAATTTTCAATTTTATTTTATGTTTTCTTTCCAGTGTGTGGCTGATACATGTACATGAAGTACATGTAGTTATAAAGAATTAATTATTAAGTTGCATGAGATATATATATAATGTTTTGACCCGTCCGTCAGTCTTTTTTTTTTTCAGCACAACTCATAAACCGCTACACAAATTCCGTCAAACTTTTCAGATATATTTAGGACACAATGTATAGATTTGCATATTACCAGGAAATTCCGATCACTTTATTTTTTCTGGGAATTTCCGCATTTTTCAACTTAGATTTATGGCCATATCTTGAATATAGAGATGAATAATTTGTCAACGCAACTCCTCAAAATAAAACAATGCACACAATTTCGTCAAACTTTGCAGATATTTAGGACACGATGTGTATATGTGCATATTACCAGGAAATTCCAATTTCTTTATTTTTTCGGGAATTTCTGCACTTTTCAGTTAAGATTTTTGGCCATATCTTGATTATGAAGATGAACAGTTTGTCAGCACAACTCCTCCCTCATAAACCGTTAAACAGACATTTAGGACACAATGTGTAGATGTGCATATACCAGGAAATTCGGATTCCTTTATTTTTTCTGGGAATTTCAGCACTTCGACTTTTGGGGGAGCGTGGGATATGTGAGCTTTGCTCACTTTTTCTTGCATTTCGATTTGATCACATACATGTAAATCACTGAAAATGAAATGAAATATTCAGTTTTTAGGATTAAAAGAAAATGATCATGATTTCTTTCAATAGAATTTGCTCAACTTAAATGAGAAAATTTAAGTTATACCTGCATGCGAAGCTTATATAAAACTGACTACAATGTAATATTCCCTAAACAAGCTAAAACTGTAAGAAAAAATAGAGCAAATTCTTATCAGCTAATTCTCTTCAGTTAAATTATTTAACTTGATTTAGTATATAGTATCATCTGATAAACGCTATTTGATATGTAGTCTTTGCATGCAAAAAGACTGAAAAAATACACTAGTTAAAATCTTTTGAAATAGAAATAAGTATCTAGACATGCATCACCTGGCTGATTAGCAACAGTATTTTTATTCCAAATGTCAAGGAAAGATAAAAAGATAAAATTCTTGACCTTAGCTTGAAGGAGAATTCGTCCTTAAAGGGGTTTCATCCCCCCCCCCCCCCCCAATGTTTACCCCAATCGTCAGATTCTTTTCATAAGAAATTGTACTGTTAGGCCCTATCTTAAATATCACTAAGACGGGTATTGGATACGTATGTCGCCATGACGGCGAGACTTGCATCATGCAAGAAACATTTTTTCCGAAACATTTTATGCTCAAGGTAACAAAAAAGTAACATCAACCAATCAGATCACGACTTATCTACTTCCGGTAAAAGGTAAACAACTTTCGTTTCTTTTTTGTTGCTGCATCATTTTCTGTTGCAATCGATTTAATAAGAAACTGTCATTTATTTTAGTATGTACAGAAGTCATGTAAGTATTGCAGGCAACCATTTTTGTATGGATATTTTTGTGAAACCTTGCACGTGCTGACTTGTTGATTACCTGTTTTAAGGTATCTTATCGTATCATTATCTAATTTCTTCTCAAACCATATCTAAATTTTCTGGAAGTAGGGGACTCAGTGCAAGTACGTTTGACCTAACAGTAGCAAAGGTAAATTCGAAGCGACTTGTTCTTGCTATACTCTTTCAAACTACAGTATAGTATCAGTCAATGTTGTTCTGGTCACTTTTGTGTTGCATGAATTTTACCCATAATCTGCGTATCTACAAAAAACATTCATTTTTGAGATATCTTATTGAATGAAAAATAATAATTGTGGCTGATAAGACCAAAGTATATTGAAGGGGTTTAAAATGGATCTGTCTTGCGTATAAATACTTTAGAAATATTTCAATTGCTTCTAGTTTTGTTTAATCCATAATTGGCTCTGAAAGCTTTCAGCAAGACATTGGCTGAAATAAGGACCCCATGCTTATTATCTAGGTGGTTTAACTTTTAAACTACTGGCAAAGCTTTGAATCTCTCTTACATCCCCTTTTTCTTCATGTCGTTGTCATTCTAGACTTAAAGCAACAATGAGATGATTTGAACCACCAATGAACATGATGCTTTTTGTTGACGTGTGCTAAACATAACAGACCTGTAGAAAAAATAAGGCTATAGGGAACAATTAAGGCCATAATGCTACATGTATGTGAAACAATGCAATCACTAAAAACCACTATTGACTGAGCCAATAAGCTGATATACATACCTTAGTCTCATGTATGATGTATAAGATTTCCTTTTAAATAATTTTCTTTTTTTTTGAACATGGCAGTACCCTGACGCTCCAGGTCATCACAATATGGATAGCCACACTCGAGTGTCTTATCGACGTAATCCTGGATTTCTGGAGAGGATTGGTCAGAGTCTGATTGGTGTACTGGTGGGGATAGCCCTGCTCATTGGAGCCTCAGTTCTGTTGTTCTGGAATGAGGTGAGGTTTCAACTTCAGTTTATTATACAGAAACACCACAACACTTTTACAGTGCAGTAACAATCTCCATGTCTTGTAAAGATATTTACTTGTATGTCATGTACTTAGATTTCATATATCACAGTTATTGATGATTACATGTACTGATTAAGGTCAGACGACACGTTCCTCCAAAATATATAATTTTCCGTAAGAATTTGTCATTGAAGTAAATGTACTGAAACAAGTTTCCTCACAAAAAAGTAGGGTACCTTACCAGGCATTTGGCCAAGATACCATTGGGTCATATTCCTTATGGGCAATCTTCTACATGGCATATAACACAATTTTTTGTGTACTTATATTTAAAAACAATTTGAAAACAATATAGAAATCAGAAGAGAATAATAATATATGACAAATATGATTTTTTTTAATATAATACCAAGAGATACAAAACATATATTTGAGGAACGTGTCGTCTGACCTTAATTGTCCTTTCAGCTTATTTTGTGCAAAGGACATGCATAATTTATTAAGATCATTCACCCCAAAACAGAACTCCATATTCTTGTGTCTATGGCAATATTCAAATGTATTTTGAAACACGATCTAGTTTGACACCTGCGCTCAAAGTAAACAGTACATGCCTCCTAACCCCAAGCTTTACGACTGGAACTTTCTTCTAATCCGTGATTGGTTGCTCGTGCAACAGACTCTTTCCATGTTAATGTTGAAAATATGAGTTGACCAATCACGTGAATTGTCAACGCTGGATGCATCTGACGAAAAAGATCATGATGTAATGCAAAACTTCACACTTAACTGAAATTAATAATATACATTTAGATATAAGTAAATGAATTTGTCACTTCAAAATATAATCCAGTAGTGTAACATGTATCCATGTTTTATCTTAATTACATGCAGTAAGAATACAGTGCATAACTTCGAAACGTCATGTACTCTATTAAAATATTGTGTTGTAGGGAAGAGCTGTTAAAACTGCCAAGTCTTTAGATGAAGGACTAAGCAAGGTTAAGGTCCAGGAAAATATTTTTGGGATCAATACAAACAATGATGGAGCACTAATCTACATCACTGGAGAGTTATCTACTGGAAAGGTATACAAAAGTTTGGATTAAAAAAATGAATCTCACAATCTGAAAATGAAAAGACAAAGCAAATGTTCATTTAAAATGCCAATTTCATTGTGGTAAACTTTCATTACATGTACTTCGTACGCAGTAAGTGTTTTATGCACAGTGTACATGATGTAATATTCTTAATCATGTTAATGAAATGGTGTACTTTTTAAGTATTTTATCCTCAATATTTCAAATCCTTGGATATCTCTGAGTTATTTTTTTAATGTGAAGGTTAGCCCTAAAACACATGCAAGTGACGCAGTTGTTGTCCTACGTATGAACCCCTAACCCTCCCTTTGATTTTAGTTGAAAAAAAATTGAAGTTAAATATGTGCAACTTACACAATATACCGTATTTAAAGTGTATTGCTACTACTTGTAAAAAAAGAATGTGTATATATATGTACACTGAAGCTTTAATATACATCTCTCGACTTCTCTACAGCAACCATTGGTAGACGATTTACACTATGTGACGGTAAATGCAGTTAAATTACAGAGAACAGTAGAAATGTACCAGTGGGTGGAGACTGAGACAAAAAGGTCAGAGGGCAAAGGTCATCAACTGTAAAATTGATTCATTCATTTTTTGTACATTATTCTTGTGTACATGTTCTTTTATTGGGGGAGTTACATACAGTTTGGGTAAGTAGGATTCAGAATTGTTCAAAAGAAGAGCCACACCCATCTCTATCATGACCTCCTGGGGAGGGGGTCATGGGCTTATAGTTCTTTGAAAAAAATATTTAAATAAATGAAAGGAGGGTTAGAGTATCAATTGTTGCTTGTACTTTCTCATAAATCTGAAATTTGATATTTATCAACTCATATCTTAAAAACCTTGAATCTGTCAAAACACCTGCATGCATGAGCAATTAAATACTGAATTATGCTAAATTTTGTTTTGAGAGAATCATAATTATGGTGAAACCCCTTTGTAAATGAAAATGATGTGTCTACATATATTCTTACATGTATATGTTCAGGAGTATTTCTAATGTTATAAGCATTTAATAACAGTGCCTGCATAAGAATTAAAATTGAAGGTTACATATTTATGTACTTTACAATTTCAAATTATTTAATGTCTATGTCAGGTTTTGTTCTTTATGATGAGAGGTATCTATTTATCTTGGTAACAAACTTGTTATAGCTTTTTTTCCCCTTTGCAGAGAATACAATGAAGGTGGACAAACTAGAACAGAAACCACATACTCATATGGTAAGTCATACAGAAACCACATACTCAATGGTAAGTCAGACAAACACCACATACTCATATGGTAAGTCAGATAGAAACCACATACTCATATGGCAAGTCAGACAAACACCACATACTCATATGGTAAGTCAGACAAACACCACATACTCATATGGTAAGTCAGATAGAAACCACATACTCATATGGTAAGTCAGACAAACACCACATACTCATATGGTAAGTCAGACACAAACCACATACTCAAATTGTATTAAGTCAGACAAACACCACATTCTCATATGGTAAGTCAGATAGAAAGCACATACTCATATGGTAAGCCACACAGAAACCATACTTACATATTTTAAAGTTTATCATATTGAAACCACTTTATTCTCATATCAGTCATATGTTAGTCAGTTATTGAATAATGCGAGTGATGGTATTCATGGAAAACGCAGTTGAATTGAATATTGCTAATAACAAGCTTTTTCATACATGTACATAGATTATGTATGTTGGTGTTTTATTTCTGAATCGCAATTTTAAAGCAAATATAGAAACAGATCATGTACCAAGTATCTTACTTAATTTTAGATTTGGAATGGAGATCCAATTTAGTTAATAGTGACTCATTTGATAACCCAGTTGGCCACAAGAATTCAAGGTATACTTTTCTCCCTTTCTTTTTTGCATTGCTCTGTGACATAAATTACATATGATGTGGATGCATATGCAAGTCACCTTTTGTTTGCATTGGACTAACATATTAAAACAGGTTATATTAAAAAAAACAACTCAGGAGTATAAATATTAGATGGTGGAGCAATTTACTACATATTTGTCATCCGTATAGGCTTTAAAAATATGTATACGTAGGTACAGTGTACCGACATTAAACTGTTATGTGCTTGGTATATGATTTCTTTCATAATTTCATGTTGTACTTTTTAGGAATTTCCCAGTTGAATCAAAGACACAAGTAGCCAGTCCAGTTCATGTTGGAATATACCATCTCTCAAGTGGTGAATATAATCAGACAATGTCAGATCTACATAGAAATATAAAAGTTGAATAATTCCATAGCTCCATGCATGTTTTAATTACATTTCTAAATAAAGTGAAATGTTATGTGAAAATGTCTATAGTTCAATACTGTCTCCTTTGAAATCCTGAAATCTTACTGAAATTTGCTATATTCTTTCTTCAGGATTGGTTGACCAGATAAATGACTTCCACCCCATTCCCTCTGAGCTTCTCCCTGTGCCTCATGATGGATACGTGGTGTTTAATGGGATGTACTACATGTCTCAGAACCCCAGGAAACCTCAGGTATCAAAGGCTTATATGTCAATAACTTTACAGTATTTTACCATGTGAATATTCAGTTTCACTTTTTCTCTCCAACATCAATAACTCAAATATCATGGATATGTCAAAGTGATTTGATGGTCTGAAAATTTTATTCTATGTCCCACTGAGTTCAAAATGACATGTTTGACTGCATTTGTTTCATAGGAATTCATATACATGTATTTGGAGGCATTATTAGTTTAATTCATTAATTCACATCATTTTTTGCAAGATTAAGACTAAATTCTAGTAAAGAGTATGATACTGTATATTTCTAAATATTAAAAGAAAATATTTTATTGTGGTAAATTACATTAGTGTATGCAACATTAGAAATAAGTGTGTAATGTCAGGGGCAATAACTCTCAAGTCCAGTATGCACCATAAATCTTTTGATTTACTCAATGCATTTGTCTGATGCTGTGTATAAGCAGACAAAGACATAACACTGCAATGAATATTGTATGTCTCTTTGAAGAATAAACAGAGATGGAAATTGATATCTATCAGATGTTTTTTTTATATGCAATTTTTTTTCTCTAGGCAGGAGACATCCGAGTGAGCTATAAATATGCCGGAATAAGTGGAGAGTCGACATTAGGGAAACCTGATGTGGTAAGATAGGATACAAGACCTGTATGAAGAAACTCGTTCAAATTACTGCACCATCTATTTATATTTCTGACTTTCCCTGTGTTCAAAATTGTATTGTAAAATGTTTTCTGATATTAAATTTCATATATTTATTAATATTAAAAATAGTACACGTATCAGTTCAATACTTTAAAATTCAAGATCATTGATTATAATGAAAATCAGAAAAAGTTAATATGATACATGTAATATTATTGTGATTCAAAATTACTTGACTAGATAAGATTGAACTTTTTTTCTCACCCTGTCAGGTCAGCATTATAGGCAAGCAGTCCGGTAACTCCATTGTTCTTTATGAAGCAGATCATGGGTATGACTTGCTCTTTCTCTACATGGGAAGACATTCTCCAGAGGTAATATTATTGTAACTTTAAACTAAAATACAATATGTACCAGTACATGTATGAAAGCAGCCCCAAATAACTAGAGACTCACTGCTGGCCTTCTAATACATGTAGTTCATATACACTGTAGCTGAATGTATGTAAATGCTTATTTTCTAAATTATTGGAATATTTTAAGCCAATTGTTTCCAATGGTGTGGGTTTTTTTAACCTTTTTGTCAAGATACATGAACTGTTACAAATGATTCTATCAAAAAGAAGGAGCTAAGAAAGATAACTCAATTTGATGTGATTTGACCCATGATGTTCTGACACTAAATTGGTTTGAATTTTATGTTTATTTCCATGTGTTTCTGACATTGAAACTTTATAATTTATAGAATTCTTGCATTGTAGGCCATATTTTCTAAGGAGCAGCAGAAGAACACTATGATCTCCTGGGCCGTGAGGTTTGGGGGCTGGCTGCTAATGTTTGTAGGATTTGGATGTTTAACAAGCATCATCAGAACTCTAGGTATGATACATAATAAAGAAAGGGTAGTGTGTATACTAAATCAAAGGGAAGTTGTTGAAAACATTACAGTCATTATACTCACATTCATTCCTTTTCTTTTACTTTGAATATAATGGTCCACTCTTAATGAAAATAGAAGGTAGGATCTGCGATATCCTTTTCTAGTGAGAAGTATAATGGTCCACTCTTAATGAAAATAGAAGGTAGGATCTGCGATATCCTTTTCTAGTGAGAAGTATAATTAGAAAGTTCCCCTTTTTTAAAGTTAGGGATTTTATTTGGTGGCTGTCATCACCCCCCCCCCCCAAGGGGGGGATGTTGCAAGTTGCTGCAACAGTGTAATTGCAACAGTAAAATTAAATAACCCAACAAAATAGACTGCATCTTCAATGAATAAAGGTTATATACAATTAGTGCACTGTTAATGCCATCATAATGGTATATTGATTTGAAAATTATTTCCAACTTACTTTTTCTTTTATTTTCAGTTGATTGGTTACCAATAATCCGTGAGCTGGTGGCCATCGGAGTTACCATGATGAACCTTTGTTTATCCATCAGCCTGTCTCTAACAGTGATAGCCATTGGCTGGATTGCTTACCGTCCATTAATGGGAATAGCCATTTTAGCAATGGCTGCCATGCCATTCTTTATGGCTAAATTTAGATCAAGGGGGTCCCATGGACACACTTCTTATGATTGACAGCATAACTTCTTTATATGTAGAAGATTTTTTTCTACCCATCCAAAAAATGTCTTTCATTCAAACTGTCTTCATATAAATATTGTATTCAGTATTTTGTTCTAGTTTTAATATATTGTACTAGTAGTTGTAATCTGAAAACAGAAATATTTTTTTCCTGATTTTTTTCTCTTCATATTCTCCATTAGATCATTTTTTTTTAAGAAAAAGGTTAAAATTTTTGTCATTTTTCATTTTGTAAATTCAACATTACCATGCTTGTAAAAAGCCCTTTAGAGGTACAGTATTTCTCTTTATGTTTTAGAATGCAGTGTTTTGATTAACTTAATAGACTGTGTATTCCACAGAGAGACAGACTGATAGGGAAGAGACAATAATAAAAATTCTTCCTAAAATTTTCCAAGACAGTTGGTTTAAACATATTTTTTGTTGATAATGGTAAACTAATACATGTATGTAGCATTAAAAAAAACCACCTGAGACCTCCAAATAGTACTTGCCAAATCCATCTGAAATGGAAATCCACGAACTTCCCTTGTAGATGCATAGTAAATATTGCATTTTCTCTTTTTTTATTAGCACAATCCTTTTTGTACAGGTATTTAATATGGATTAGTGAGTTGTCCATCTGCACTTAATTATTCACATCAACAGCTTAAAATCTCAATAATCATTTAGTAAAAGGGAATCATTGAAACTAGTGTAAATTCACATTTAAAAAAAAATTTCAATATTTAAACTACGCAGAAAAAATAAATATATTTATACATGTATATTCTTTTTAGGTATACACTGTAAATTATGAAGGAAACTGTAATGTACACAAAGTTCTTGTATCTTTATTACATGTAATGTGAAAAAAATCATTTCATTAAATTGATGATTTGTTACTGCAAGAGCAATTAGCTTAAGGATGGGGCTTAATTCAGTTAAGTCTTCTTAGTTAGAAAAAGTAAAATGGGGATTTATGAAAGTACATACATGTATAGCAATGCTTTTGTTGAATCTGTTCTTTTAGTATATTAGAAGTTATTCTTAATTACATGTAATACTGCATATATTTGTTATGTTTAATTTTTTTTTCTGTTCTTTAGGAGGTAAATACTAATAGTGTTCTAAGGTGATTGGAAAGAAGTACTTGTAGTTATTGTATACTTGATTTTTATAAGTTTTTGTTGAATATATTTACTGGAGGTACCCTTTATGTCATTTATCCTAGTAGGATAGTTAATTTTGATAGTTTTTGATTATTTGCTTTATATTTACACTTGTGATAATCAATACATGTATTAATGAGGCTTCCGTATTTTTGTCAAATAAAAGGATTCAATAAATAAATTAAAAAACACATCTTAATTTTGTTATTTCAACCACACTTTATAAAGTTAGGTATATTTCTAAACTTATCATAGCCCCTCCACCCCTCTGTCCTGTAACTCCTAATAATTTAAGCAGTAACAAAATTCGTTTTTAGCTCACCTGAGCTTCAAAATTTGACCTTGACTTGACACTCGGTGCCACTGAGCAGTGAGGGATCTTAAATTTAATTATTGTGCTAATGCCTGCCGTGACACAGGGCTTCAGTAATGAGTTATTATGGTCTTATCCGAAGAACCCGTAATTTTTACTCAAAGTGACTGGCGAAGGAATAGTTGCTACCCATTATTTATCGACTTATGTCAGTTGCGGCCGAGATTCGAACTCGCAACTTCCGATTACGGAGCATGCGCTCTATACCGACTTTTGATCGAGAAACTACACGTGTGTCGTGTGTACGAGGGGTGTTAGAAAAGTTCGCGGACAAGTTCAATTGTGAGCGCGCTATTTCTACGAAACCGGTCAAACTTTCCAGATAAAATCTTCACCCTTTTTCCAATAAATATACAAGAATTTGGTGCTCTCCGGTTATTATTGAAAAATATACAGCTTTTTTATTTTGATAAAACTTGCTTCACGGAGCATGCTATATTTTGGCACGTCTACATCACAAAAACTCTTTATTAAAATTAAAAATTGCACAATTGTAGCGCAAAGAGATTAATGATATTTTACCTGCCGCTAAAGTATTCATAAAACGTCACTGGGAGAAGTATTGAACTAAATTGGAGGGTATATGACTGTCTTATGGCCGTTTATAAATGATCAACGCGTAAAAACACGGCCAAAAATCGGAACGTCATTGAGCGTCATGGAGCACCGCACTACGTAAAAATTATGTATGCAGAATAGAAAATGTCTAAAAAGAGATAAAAATGTTCAAGATGCTGCCAGGAATTTCCTACACCTACAAAGGACAAGTTTTCAAATGGTTGTAGCTTCATAAGAACGGAAGGATTGACATTTTGAATGATTAACTCCATCGATACTTCAATACTCCCGCATCGCATTGACGTTGCGTTGCGCCTATATGGTTTTGCATAGTTTCCATAACTGATCGATTAATTGATTAACTGCATAGACATTTTAAAGATCTCAATAATATCCGAATCAGTACAAAGGACATTATAGAAGAAAAGTAACATGTCTTGATATAGATATTCAATTTAAAAGTAGAAAAAAGATCAGAAAAATCTGAAGAAATGGAAGATTTATAGAACTGCGACAAAGCTTAACGGGTTGTTGTCTGGTTGTCACGTCGCCTTACGTCAAGTGATTGCTCCGTGAATAGCATGACCTCATAGTAAAAATCGTTGTAAATTTTCAAGATTTTAGTAAAAGGACCTGATTTTTTATATACTATTAAACAAAATGCAGGAATTTATTCAGACATAGGTCATACTTCACAGTACACAATAGATTTTCCGTAATTCAATGTGTCCGCGAACTTTTCTAACGACCCTCGTATCTGTTTGACTTTAAAGCTGTCAACACCTGTATTTAAAAAAGTTTATCTCTTTATATTTACATCCACTGAATATTTTCTCCTTTATTTCTTAAGAAAACCCATTGCGTTCATCACCGCATGAACTACATTAGGCATATCGCCTGTACAGATTTCTTGATCAGTGGCCGTTCCATCAATGAAACGTACAAAGACATTCGCATCATTAACACAATAATTAATATTTTTAATCCTACTTAAAATGATAATTTAAACAGATATAAATATAAACAATAAAATGTCTTTGTTTGTTATTACTGGAATGAACGGTCGCAGCTATTGCAGAAAAAATTTACATAACCCGCTTACGCGGGTTATGTATTTTTTCTGCAACAGCTGCTTCCGTTCATTCCAGTAATAACAAACAAAGAAAGCATTTTATTGTTTAAGAAATAAAAATGTGAAATTACATCATCTTACCATATAGGCTTTTATCTTAAAAACAGCTGCTTTATGCGATACTTAAAATGATAATTATGTTTTTTTCTGTGTTGATTTCTTTCGTATCCTGTTCAACTTTTTACAAATCCAAAACGCGGCAAGGATGCTAGAGATGGACCTGTATGTAACAGAAGTTCTTTTACATAACGCTATCCCTCTTTACTCCACTCAGTATTTTACCCCCAGCCAACAAGTTCCATATAACCCAGAACTTGCAGTCTGACAGTGTTGGAGTTATTTACAAACCGTTAAAGTGCGTCCAAATTCGATGAAAAATGTCGGGCAAGGAAGAGAAAGGTAAGTGTTGAGACTAAAATATTAATTTAAAATATATACTTTGTGAATCACACATTGTACATGTACATGTATATACTTGTGGTGAAACATATATAATTTGAAAAAAATGTTTTGTATGTTTGTTTGTTTGTTTGTTTGTTTTTTTTTTTTTTTTTCGTTTTTTTTTTTTTTTTTTTTTTTTTTTGTTCTTCAGTTGGTACGTATAGTGCTTTCCATCGTCTGACCATCTTCCCAAGGTTTCTAATTTAATTGGGGAGCGGAGTGGATCAGAAACCCTTGACTTAGGAAGATGCATCTGACTTACTGTGCTAAAAGCTTATATCCCATGTTGTTTGTTTCAGATGTATGGAAAACAGGCTGGATGCATATGGCTAGATATTTATTTTTACAAGATAACTTTAAGATAATAAGAAATATGTAAAACTAGCAAAGGCATTTCAATAACATTTCTTTCGGCCTTTTAACTAATTTTTCAAGTTTGACATATGGTAAAAACATTTACACACTCCCAAGCCGGGATTACCTATTGTAAACTCTTTTTGTATAACCATCAATTATCAATTACCTGATGAGAAATGATAATGATGTTGAAACATAATAACAAAATTAACACTTAGTTTAAAGTAAGTTCTTAAAATATTTTACTCATGATTTCATACATGGTATCATTTAAAAATTATTTTACTGAACTTATACAAAAAAAAAAAAAAAAAAAAAAACGTCCCATTTCCCCATGTGCACTTTCTAACACAACCATAAATAGATCGGCCGCTGCTGTGGCCAATTATAAAAAAGCTTTTTTAAAAAAACAATACCGTTTTTAAGCAACACCCTTAAACAGTAAATGATCTTAACCTATCAGCTTATTATTATTCTTGGGAATTATTCTCTTGATTTGTATTTCTACGTTAGTTTTTTTACTGGCATTAGCCCTACCACGGTACATGTACTCTGTATTTTTTTTAAAAACCAATTTTTATACGCCCGTCTTAAGACGGGACGTATTATGTTATAGGCTTCGTGTCCGTCCGTCCGTCCGTCTGTCCGTCTGTCCATTCCTGTCCGGCTCATAACTTGAATACTATTAGGCCTAGGATTATCAAAGGATCATTCTCTATAAGGCCGTTTTGCGGCCTACAATGACATCAAATTTTCAGATAGTATTTTTTCCCTTAAAAATTGCATGAATCACTAGGCTTATGTTCCAATTTAATGATAAATATTGGTTGGTTAATGATACAATAGTATTTTTAATGATATAGGGTCACAAAGTAAGCTACTGTCGGTCCGTATTAGCATTAGAGTAATGGGAAAACTCAAGAGGGTGGCTGTGTAAGATAACTCATACGCATGTCATAACCACCTTTAACCAACACCAAAATTTGCATGTAAATTTCTAATAAACATAAAAAGTGACTACCAAATTATGAGTTTGGTTAAAGGTGGTTATGACATCCAAATAAAAACTTTTCGCTTCATTTTTACGATATTTGCAGAAAAAGCTGACTACTCACAATGATGA